TCCGCTTCTTCTCCAGACATGCATATGTCGATCGTCACTAAAAAACTTCAACTAACACTCATCCGTGAAAAGCAGCTTACATCATTCCTCCATGCCCCATTCAAGATGTTGACTTGCAAACCTTAACCGATTTGATTAGGGTTTGCAAGTCAGCTGATAAGTCCCGGTCAGTTTAGTGTGAGTTACAGGTCTTCGTGAACGTTGCTGGTATTTGTGCAAACGATTTCTAATTGCCTGGTCGATGACAAGGGTAGCAGTAGTCCGGCGTAAACGGTTCTGTAATATACGCGCTGTCACAGTACTACTAACACGTCGCGCTGTAAGTCGCACGTACCGGTCTTCTTGGGCGGTGGTAGCCCGAATTCTCGCCGAGCCACGACTCCGGGATACATTCCCGGTCTCTTGATACCGGCTCCAATGGTCTTGAATAGTCCTTCGGGAATATGTCAGCTGTATGGAATATGTCAGCCACAGAACGTTGCGACTGATCAGCCTCGATCGTCGTTATGGCTCTGGTAGCTGAAGCGTTGTATAAATGGTGCTGGATTCTTGGCATTTCAGGGTTAAATGTTCAATTTACACGTTTTACTTCCAAAAATAACCGTAACAGTCAGTGGACTTGTGTTAAAAGAAATCAGAAATCAAATTAAAAAATAAACGACAAGTGAGACAAAAAAATGTTTAGCATACCCTCAAGACTATTATCGCCTAGTACTTCGCTTAACGTTACGTCTAAACAATTGTCCCCACTAAAATCAAACAACAATATAAGGACAATTACAACCAATTATTTAAATACTGTGGTATCTTGCCAATACAAAAAAAAAAAATAAAACTCACTTTACTTGTAGAACAGTTCTTTAATACAAAATTACAAGTCATACCTACGTACAAACATCGGCTTAGAAGTACATATACCCCTAAATTAATTATAGCTAAAACTCATAATATGTATGGCGATCAACAAAATAAGATTATTATTCCTAAATTAATTAATAAACTACCTAAAACCTTGAAGGAAAATATCAATCCCAAAAATATTAAATACAAATTAAAAACATACTTTTTCAATCAACTAACATGATATAACTAGAAACTAACATACTTACTATATGTAATATAATTATCATATGTATATTCCAAAAATATAAAATAATATTTTCTCCAAACATCCTGTATACTACTACTGTACTACTTTAACTAAATAGCCACTACAACTCATCCTCATATTATTTGTATAGAAATGAGCGAACTACCTCCTTACTCTAAATAATATTAAAATGTTTGCGCTGGAAAGACGGTGAACTGCAGTGCGCAGAAAAATCTTATATAGGTTTGTGTTGCACTGTATTTATGAACTTTGATTAGTATATGTATTTTAGTTGTTGTAAAATAAAAATAAAACACTTGAGAACATAGTGGCATTCATAAAAATTCATTATCCGGACAAGAGGCAGCAAAAAATGGTCTCAAAGCAAACTAAAACGAATGGGCCGTTATTTGGTTTTGAGTAGTATAATTAATTTATCTTTGTTCATCTTGTTTTAGTCTAGTGCTGGATATATTTTATTACTATTTACGAAAATCGCCGAGTGGCGTGCATACCTTCTAAGAATGGCCATATTCACCAGGTGGTTTGATGACCGGAAGTCTCGCACTAGCAATGTTGCTTCTTATCATCCGTCTATTCTTTTATCCGTCTATTTATCTAATTTAGGTTCAACTGAAACATTTTGATATGTATTTGTAGCGCGCCACAAGCTCGTGGGCTATTTAGCAGAGTGAATCATGTACATGTAGTGTTCATGTTTGAAATTATGACATACCTCAACAATTATTGGCCACATTATGCAGTATTGAGGCTTGTATAGATTGTTTCTTTTGACGTGTAATGGCGGTGTAAGAGAACGCATATTATCCCATATTATCCTGTGAGTATCTTGAGGGAAGCAGCAGAGGGAAAGGCAACAGGAGATGTTATGATCTTCCTGATTACAATTAAAAATAAAAGGACTGCGGTTACCAACCAGTTTGCCAAGCGTGGAAACTATGGCAAATATCCTAATCCGTGATGGAAAATATCCCCTTTTAGTCATTTTCGGGGGAAGCCCATGTTTAGCAGTGGACTTTTTGATAGGCTAATAATGTAGTAATGCTATTTTAAGTAGAGGTTTGAAAAAAAAATCAGAGCCACGTATACTATACCTGGGTAGCAATGAAGTAACGATTTTAGAAAAAAAAAAAACGCTTAAGGAACAGTTTGTATAACCTCAGTTCTATCAAATCTGATGTTTTTACTTTTTATTAAAATGTTTTAATTTATTAATTTTGTTCTTTAACCTGTATTACAGCGAGGGTTGCCGTCGCGAAAATACGTATAAGAATATTGGCATAAGGAAATATGCATTTACGAAGAAACAAGCGATGGCACTCCCTGAGGAGTATAGGCCCCCGGCGGGTACTTACGGTTCTTCACAGACTTAATATTTGTGTAATAGTGTATTGCTGATGTTGTCTAAAATATTGGTGTCGGTAATTCTATAAAATATTTATAGTCAATTACATTATAATCATTATATAAAAATGTAATGTCACGTGTTGCCATAAAAAATAACAGTTAAAGAACTTTTTTAACAAATATTGAATGATAAAACGGACTCCTCAAACGAAGTTCCATCATTATTATATGAATATAGGTCCATTCGAAGATATAGATAGATAGTTAAATCACCAAGTAATTTTTCCATCATACTAGATAAATTTGCACGCTTTTAGATTAATGTCGATACAAAACCGTCTTTTTGCGGTTTTTGATCAAGAAACTGATTGTATCATAAAACTTAGACATAACATATAAACGAAGGGAAACAAGGATTCCAGTTGAATCATTTTAAGGGTTACTGAAAGTGTTGGGATGCAATAAAAATCATAATGATGCCAAGAGATCATAAATTCATCTACAGAAATAGAATCAGAATTCAGGACGCGAGTAACGAAAAGACCTAATTGGGGTCTGCCGAAGTCTTCAGTAATAGTTTCGAATGCACCAGAACAAAACTAAATCGGTATCAGTGTTAATCCTAGATTCCACATCAGTTCTCATGTGTGAATCTTACCACCACAGATTTCTTCTTTCTCACCGCTGACTAATCTAATTCGTTTAATTGGCGAACTGTATGCTACCCATTCCGTTGATGTAACAGACGGCGATTTTATTGACTATCCTCATTAATATGCCGCAACTGGATTTGTCTTTAGCAAAACATTCAAGTTAAAATCGTGGCTTGGAGTTCCAGATGAACTCCTGATATAAATGATGATAATTTAACTATTTATATCTGATGAATGGAGCTATGACATATAATTGTTATTCAAAGCTCGTGCCATTTAGAAGATAGTTCTTCAACACACTGATATATTAGTCAAACTAATATATGTAAAATTGTAAAAGCAAAATATGAAAGAAAATTTTATTGTACTTACGAACATCTTATTTTTATTAAAAAATAATTTTAGATTTTTATATGCTCCTCATCTCAATCATTTTAATGACATTTTTCAAGAATGTTCTTTTAGCTGGTGCTATCTATATATGAGGTAATTAAACCTTTATATCCAAGGAAAATAAGAATTTTCTTACTTACTACTTTAGGTACTATAAGAAATTCGAAAAGATAATCAATTGTAGCAAATTATGTTTGATAAAACAATCTCCCTTACAAATAGTACAGTTTCTTCAAAAAAAGTAATTTGAAAGTCTAAAGACCGATTTACACTTCGACAAGTACACTAGCGAGTTAACTTGCAAACCTGGCGAGTTAAGTTTGAATCTCGTTTGAACTGCAAAGAGCAAGTTAAGTAACAAGTTAACGATTAAATTGAACGGGATAGCCGGCCGAGCTATTTTTCGGCGAATTAAGTGCGAAGTGCTGCCCTCCCACGCGTCTCCCGCCACCCGCAACTAAACTCGCCGTTCGTGTGAAGGCCGATTTACATTATCTTAGTGTTTAGGAGAGTATTTTGGTACAACTTGAAAGGCAAGTTCTTTAGTGCTTTAGTGCGTTGCGAGTGAACGTTTACATTTCTTCCAGTAGAGTATCATTACAGCGCCACAATGAACGCGCAACAACGTCGGCAAATACGCTCTATTCTACGCAAAATACTAACTGTAGTTATGGAACAAATAGAAGACGAGATTTTATTCGAAATAAATAAACCGAAACGAATGTGGGAGCGTCAATGGATTAGTCGCAGATCCATGCTTGGAGGAAGTTCTTTGTTGTTAAAAGAACTGCCTATTGAAGATCTTAAAGAATATCGCGATTCGATGAGAATGACAGAAGAATCCTTCAATTGGTTACTAAACAAAGTAAGGCATGCTATAGAAAAAAAAAAAATGATACATGAGGAGTGAAATACCGGCCAAAATAAAACTCCAAGCAATTATTTATATGCTTGCAACAGGAAATAATTTAAGGAGCATATCTCATTTATTCAGAATATCTAAATCTAGCCTTTCGTTAATGATTCCTGTAATTTGTGATGCCATCTACAATGCTTTGGAGGAATTTATACAGGTGAGCAAATAAAACATGTAGTTATATTAAATCACATAACTTTAATACTTGAAACTGGGTAATTTTGTCACATAACTTTATAAAACTTTAATAATAAATCACATAACTTTAATACTTTGAAACAATGAAATATTCCTATGTAGACGTTGAACAAAATTACATTGATTAGTAATTTTGTTCGATGTCTACATAGGAATATTGGCCATAGCCTGTGATAAGATATCATTATTTTGTTGAGCTGCAGTTTGTTGGTCACTTAGATCAAGCAAATTTCCCCTATCAAGATTTATTGCAGCGTCGTGGCTGAAATGTGCTGTATCAGATGAAATATTAGGAGTATATGTCACAATAAACTCAGAGTGAGGTATTTCAGACATAGATGATTGTCCACTATCTGTAGGAGCTTCTTGAGTAGACGTATGCTCATAAATGGTTTGTGTAGGCACATAACTCGGAGATGGTGTACGCACATAACTCGGAGATGGTGTAGGCACATAACTCGGAGATGGTGTACGCACATAACTCGGAGATGGTGTACGCACATAACTCGGAGATGGTGTAGGCACATTCGTTGCATAACTCGGAGATGGTGTACGCACATAACTCGGAGATGGTGTACGCACATAACTCGGAGATGGTGTACGCACATAACTCGAAGATGGTGTACGCACATAACTCGGAGATGGTGTAGGCACATAACTCGGAGATGGTGTACGCACATAACTCGGAGATGGTGTACGCACATAACTCGAAGATGGTGTAGGCACATAACTCGGAGATGGTGTACGCACATAACTCGGAGATGGAGTACGCACATAACTCAGAGATGGTGTAGGCACATAACTCGGAGATGGTGTAGGAACAACAAAAGTGCGATTGTAGGTTTTTAATTCTTGCAATCGCACTTTTGTAAGATAGGTGCGCCCGCAAAGCATTTTCTAAACTCATGGAATTTAGTTGGACGCCAACACTTTTGCCAAACAATTCGATTTCGTTTGTGCCTTCTTTTTCGATCATTGATTATGTGTTGAGGTCGCTTACCACTACTCTTGCTTTGTCTAGAAGTGAATTCAGACCTCTCATATTTCTTTTTCTTGAAGGGCGGGTTAGATCAGAAATCCTATATCAATACTAAAGAGATTTCGAGCATCTTGATTCTCCTCTATGTCTTCTTTATCCTCAATGGTATTCTGAAATAAAAATAATAGACTTAAGTCAGTGAAATATTTTCGGCAGCTAGTTAAAATAATACAAATATTCTTTTTTTCTTTCAGGTACCAAGAAACTGTGAAGAGTGGGAGGCAATTGCAAATGGCTTTAGAAAATCTTGGAACTTTCCTGGGTGTTGTGGAGCAAATGAAGGCAAGCACGTCGTCATTAAAGCTCCATTTGAAGCAGGAAGCTATTTCTATAATTACAAGCAACAGAATAGCCTTGTATTAATTGGCTTTGGTAGATGACAACTATTGTTTTTCATATATCGATATCGGGTGCAATGGTAGAATATCCGATGGAGGAGTTTTCCGAAACAGCAACTTAAGTGATGTTTTGGAAAATGGCTTGCTACCGGAATATCATGTTATAGTCGGAGATGCTGCCTTCCCTCTGAAGCCTTATTTGATGAAGCCATTCGGAGGACAAAATTTATTATTAATTTTAACACAAAGAGAAAAAAAATTTAATTACCGGTTGTCTCGTGCTAGACGTATTGTTGAAAATGCTTTCGGGATATTAGTAGATTTCAAATATTCGGAAAACCACTGCCTTATTGCCCAAACACTGTTGATAAAATTGTAAAAGCTTGTTTTGCTTTACACAACTGGCTCAGAATCATCAAAAGTTCGATATTAGAACATACAATGGACTTTGAAGATACTGAGAACGAACATTTTGTAGAAGGGAGCGGGAGACAGTTACCTTCAGAGGGACTTGTGCCAATACCTAGGACACATGTACAACCATTCGTCGCAAAACGCACGTCAGATCAGAGAAAAGTTTGCAGACTATTTTATGGGCGAAGGATCTGTCTCCTGGCAGGCACGAATGATACATTAATTTTTATGTAAGAAAAAAATCATACCATATTACTCTGCGTCTTTCTATTTTCTAGGTTTACGCTTCGTAACACATCGTGTAGTATGTCGAACCGTTTTACACTCGGCTTGTATATGGAATCTGCTCGAGCTCCAGATTTTAATGAATCGTTAATTTTCTTTACCTCTTGTGAATAAGTTGATCTTATATTTTTAATCTGAAATACAAAACAAATTGTTAATAGAAAAAATGTTGTTATTATTATAACTTCAACACCCCCCCCCCCCCCCCACCCACATGCACATACATTTACCATCAGCGCGATCAGTGAACCAATTAATAAATCAGTAGAAACTACTATACTAGAAAAGTTACAAAAATTACATTGATTTGATAAATAACATAATTAATTAATTACATTAATTACTCACTTTTGTGACAACCGCGTTAACGTCGAGGCCAGGAATACCTATAGCTTCTTTTAAGGTAGTGTATGCCGAATGCCTAGCCTGTTTGTTTTTGTATAAATTGTTTTTAACGTTCCACAAACATTCGTGAACAACATATTCAGACACACATTTGATAGTTGTATTTTCCGACCATTTAGCTATCTTTAAAAATCAAAAAACACGCACGCGTTTCACGGCACTTGTGCACTCTCCTAAAGATTTTACTAAATTACGTGTTTACACACAACGAGGGAAGATCTGAGTGCACAGATTAGTGCTGAGTGACGCGCCGGGGGCTGCGCGGGCGCGGGAGGGGTATCACTTGAAACAAAAATAAAAAGCGATTCTATTTTGATTCAACTTGAAAGTCAAGTAGAACCGTACTAAAGCAAGTAGCGTTTACATGTTTCAACTAAAGTACTATCCTAAAGCACTCTGCTAAACACTAAGATAATGTAAATCGGGCATGAACGAGCGAGTTTAGTTCAGTGCATAAGTTGACAGGACGCAACGTTTGCGCGCCAAAACGTACAATTGTACTTTTATAATTAAACTCGCCACAAAGTTTGTACGATACTGTTTATTGAATATTTATACGTTTTATATTGAGTTTTAATAATAAAATGGACGGAAGATACACGTATAAATTTGTACGGGAGTATTTAGAACACGTATGTTTATATAATAGTAGAAGTTCAAATTGTAAAATTAAACCTGCTCGAGATGCTGCACTCATGAAAATTCTTAAAAACTTCTTTAACAACAACCATTAATACTCCTCTGACTGGATCATTTAATTCTTGACGTAATCCTAGAACCATCTTAAACGTAAACCAGAAAAATTCTGTAGTCATGAAACGTCATACTCCATCGAACTCTATTAACTAATGTCCTTAACTAAACTCGCCACAAAGACATTGTTTGAACGCTACTGCCTACTTAACCGTTTACTGTCAACTGCCCTGTAACTAAACTCGCTACTATACTTGTCGAAGTGTAAATCAGTCTTTATACATAATAGTAATTTGAATTTCAAAGTCTCTTACCAACCTATATGGTATTATAATGTACATAGATTAAAGAAAAATCACACTACTAAAAACCCTAATTTAATAAAAGTATTAAAACATTCTTAAAGTGAATATATGTATACGGGGCGTATATGCTCCTATGATTGTATTTTATAGACATTTTCAGTCTTTGATCTTGCAATATGCGTTTACATATTTAATCTCTAGATATAAACAGAAAACTTAAAATGTTTATGCTATATTTGAGATCGTATCAACAATTTTTCATAAGTACTGTTACATTGTTTCCACCTTAAATATCGTAGTATTGGCGAGGAAAAAGTAGAAAATATTTAGTTATGATTGTAAATATAAATGTGTTATATTTACAAAGAACTGAATGATTACTTTTGTTTTGGATAACTAGGTACTGTTTTACTATAAATTGATTAAAGTTAGTAAAGCACGTTAGATGGATTATGATTTTTTTGAATTTGTAAAGGTAAAGGAGGTTGAAGAATTTGGACCAATTGCCAAGTAATGTTTTCAGTTTTCAAATAACAAGTAAAGAAATTAAAATGAAAAAAAAAAGCAGTCACGTTATTTCCCTTTTATTTAAACTATTCACGTCACATGATTTTAAGTTGTTGCCAAGTAGTACTTAAAAAGTGTATTAAACAATAATAACATTTAGGAATGAAGATAGTTTTTAAGTTTATTTATATATATATATGACTTTCGTTATAAGAAAAACGTTTTTGTTGATTTGAAGTTTATCTAATAGTTTCCTTACAAGTAGTGAAAAATACAGGAGATCTAATTTTGAATAATGAAATAATTTTAGTAAAAAGGGAGGTAAAAATTATTATGGCCGGAAATAGTTATGTTGTCAAAGATAAAAAAAGAATTTTTAGTAAGATCATAATTATATATGGATGTTAAAATAAGGATTTATCTAGATTATAGGACCGGGCTGCAACATTTCAGACCTCTAATTATTCTTTATTTTTCAAACTTAACCGAGGACGCGACTACTTAATGTTTAAAAAAATTTATAGAAATTGTATGTACTTATTGTCAGTATTTATATTAGGTATGTATACGAATCCTCAGTACAGATTTCCATGACGGTTCTTCCAAATTATAGTGCCAAAACAATTTTTCATTAATAATTATTTACACTATATTATCTGTATGGGATTCAGGCTTATCTAAACTTGATGAATGAAATTTAAAAAAAAATCAATATTATGCCGAAATGTAAAGAAATTCTGTTTCTTCAAGTTTTATTTGTGCATCACAAAACTTTTTATGTTTCGAAATCTGAGGAAAGGTCGCTGACCAGAAACAAATAAAAAAAAATTAAAATTATCATCTCAAAAAACGTACATATTCAGTGGATGTGTAAATATAATGTTGTATGTTACCTTTAGCAAGTAATGGTGTAGATACAGTGCAATAACATAATAATATATTTTGTAACTACAGTATCTTTTTTCAGAAGTGTATAAATTTATGTATGTAAGTATGCCTTCATGCATGCATGTATGTCTACTGAATCTGTTTGCTTCAGATAAACCTTGTTGCAAACTAAGTCTTAGATAATTTGAGAAATATTCTAAATTGTGTTATTTGTGTCTTAGAAACATCGACTTTGCACACATATTGTAGTGTTCTAAAGGAGATGCGATTTCATTGTGGTCATACCATTTTCAATCAAAATTTGTTATTTATACTGGTCTTTAACAGGGTCATCGAAGTAGCTTCAGTGTCCAGAGTATTGAAAATTTGCTGTTTCAAAACTTGGTATAAACGCGGCCATATTTTACAGTACATATTTCAGTTACGTCACATTTTACATGTCATCTAAATTTAATTAAAACGTTATTTCAAGTACTTACCAGGTTTCGCAAATTAAGACTATGATTTAATTTAAGATACTAATGTAATCTGAAGCACATAATTGTATCCCAATAGTATTATTCAATCTGCTCTAATACGATACTTATTTTAATTGATTGTTCCTATTTCAAAATCAATAAATTGTTTCAAGTTTTCTCGAAAGAGTACAAGTACAAATATTATAAATTTATCGTTACGTTTAATAATTTGTTTTGAAAAATGCATTAACATTTACGTTGAGTATTTTAATTGCTTTGTTGTACTTAAGGGGATATAGTAAGTCAGCTCAAATTCTAATTTCGCCCCCACTTCCCCGCGCGTCGCATGCTATGTACCGACAGGTTTGTAATCACTTATATATATATATATATATATATATATATATATATATATATATATATATATATATATATATATATATATATATATATATAAACAAACATTCACGCCTGTCACCCAGAGGGGTAGGCAGAGACTACAGACTTCCATTTGGCACGATCCTGACACACCTCTCGCCTCCTTCACATCCATACACATACGCATACATGCTCGTCGGTAAAGGGTACTTCTAATTTGGCCCGTATTCAATAAATCGCCAATTTGGTCGATAAATTTTCGCCTA